GGTGTGTCCAGGGCCGCCTGGGAAGTGTGCGGCCCGGATCGGGAATTGTCTTTGGCCACTGACAGCCAGGCTTCCTCAGTTCTCTGTGGTTCCCTGCAGAACCGTTGCATGGCCTTTTTGTCTGCTGCCCTTTTGCTGCTACCTGCACCTGTCCTCGTCCCAGCTGGCATCGGGGTAAAGCCTCATCCCCACAGAGTACTCTGCATCCACCAGGGAGTTTCCAGGCCTTGGGCTGCTAGATCCCAAGAACGGCACAGAAGGGCTGTTCTGGATCACTTCTGGCCAGATTCAGGAAGAATGAACTCTTCATGAATTCTGGGAGGAAGACCAGGTTTTGCCTACAAGGGAGAAAGTGGGCGCGCCTGCACAGAGGCACAATTGGTCTGCCAAGCCTGAGGGTGTAACTGGCCCCCCAGCTCCTTGGAGAAGGCAGAGGCGGGGAGCCCCTCCTTATGAAGCCCTTTGCCCCACAAGGCTGCAGCCCAACAGTACTGTGGCGTTGCAGGCAGATGGTCTGGTGCGTTGGGGGGCAGCCTGGTGTCTTCACCCGTCTCAACGGGGCAGGGGCAGTGGGGGTGTTTTCCGTACTCTGCCCTCTGCCCCCCACCCCCAGCATATTCACATGGTCTGCTGCGAGAACTGGACTTTTTGGTGTGTTTGTATTGCAAAGTGCGCCCTGTGAGCAATGTTTTCTTGCTCACACTCACTCCCATTTTTGTACAAAAGCATTTATAGTCTGCACAATCTGTACAAACCTGTTATTTTTGTACAAAAGCATTTATCATCTGGTTTTACAAAAAGTATCAGTCTGTGTTAGAAAAGTGATTTCTCAAGAGAAACGGGACACAATCAATGTTACAAATAGGATCTCGGCGTTCATAGCCCTTCATTCCCCCCGAGGGCACCCAGAGGGCCCCGTCTCTGCCCTTCCTCCTCCTCTGCTGTTAACAGAAGAGGCTCTGCTCCTTCATTTGGGGTTCTTTTCGCAGCTGCCCCAATGGGTCTGTGTCACTGGGGCTGCCTTCGGCAGAGGACTCAGGTTGCCGGCACACGGGTTCCTCTTGCCATGGGGAGGCAGCCTCTTTCTCTCGGTGCAGCTCTCTAGCCCTTTCCCTGGGTGTTCACCACCCACAACCTCCCTCCCAGCACCAAGAAGATGCTTTGCCGTTAGGGAGACTCAGGATTGCTGTTGGATCAGGGCCCTTTGGTGGCCCTAAAAGTAGGAAGGTCCCAGTGCCCTCGGTGTGGCAGTGCCTGTATAATGAGGCTGCATGAGAGGCACCTCGCACTCCAAGCCGATGGGCACAGGCACTGCGGTCTTGGGACTCTGCACGGCCGGCTCCGCCTTCTCGCTGCAAATCTTCACCCCCTCCAGCTCCAACGGACTGGAGCCGGCGGCCCCGGGAGCAGCCTGGGCCTTCCTCTGCCGCCTGCGCCGCTGCCCATAGTAGGAGCCGGCGGCTGCCGCCCCCAGCAAGAGCAGCACGGCAGCCACGGAAGGTGCCACCACCACGGGGAGGTTGGGACCTCTGCTCTGGATGACGGGGGCATGCTGCTGGTGGGTCAGGTGCAGCGTGTGGGCCTCCACGCAGAAGTCCTCCTCGTGGGCCTTGTCGCCAAGGGCCCCAACACAGATGTGGTAGGAGGAATTGGGCTTCAAGGCCCGCACCGTGTATTCAGGCAACGTGGCTGGCAGGCTGAGGGTGACTGGCCGCCTGTCCGGGCCCGAGAGGTTCCAGTATGTCATGCGGATCCCCTTCAGCTGAGTCTTGGACCGGATGTAGTTCTGCAGGTCCACTTTCAAGGAGGTGCCCCCCACGTGCTTGATGGCTATTTGTTTGGCCCGGGTGGGCTCTGGCGGAGAGGTCACCTGCCCCCTGGGCACCTCACAGTAAAGGCCTGCGAAGCCCAGGGGGCAGATGCATTCCAGGTGGCTGTCGGGACCTGGCTGGCACAGGCCCCCGTTAAGGCAGGTGTGCGGTGGGCAGAGCTCGGCTTCAGGGCTTGGCTGATGCTCCGGGGCAAGGGATGGGGTAGGCGTGAGGCTGCCATCCCTGGCGGTGGGGCTGGCTGTGCTTGGCTCTGGGGGAACAGGCCTGCTGCTGGCAATAGGGGTGGCCAGTTTGGGGCTGGTTGCCCGTAAGGTGGTGGTGCTGGTGGTGGTGGTTGGGCAGCCAAAGTCTGCGTACTCCAGCTGCTGAAGCAGCCTGCCTGCGTTTTTGGGGGGGAAGTGGCAGCGGGTCTCCTCTGACCTCCGGAGCAAGGCTTTGCTGAGGCTCGCCCCGCTGACGATCCAGCTCATTTGGCAAACACAGTTGAAGGGGTTCTCCGCTGCGGTGACAGCCCTGAGTTTGGGGAAGGAGCCGAAGAAGTCCCAGGGGAGGCTGTTGAGGTTAAGATTGCTGACGTCCAGTTCCTGAAGGCGCTGGAGCTCCTGGAAGTCCTCTGCCCGCAACTGAGAGATCAGACCATTCCCTGCCAGGCTGAGCTTGGTTAGCCCAGGCAGCTGGTTCAGGACACCAGGCACCCTGGCCAGCAGGTTGTCTGAAACGTCTAGCTCGTGGAGATTGCGCAGGCCCTGTAGGAGCTCTTCATCCAAGCTGCTGAGGCCCAGCCCAGCGATTTTCAGAGACTCAAGGCTCTGGACCTGGAAGGTGCCCCCCTCAAGGGCAGTGATCTTGTTCCGGCTGATGTCCAGCAGCAGGAGGGTGGGCAGGTTGAGAGGTGGCACCGTCTGCAGTTGGTTGTCCTGGAGCTTCAATTCCAGGAGGTTTTCCAGTGAGTCGAAGGCAGCCGGGTGAATGACTTGGATCCGGTTGCGGTCCAGGTAGAGTCGCTCCAGCAGGTGCAGCCCATGGAAGCTCTCGTTGGTGATCTCCTGCAGCTGGTTAGAAGACAAGTCGAGGTTGTAGAGTCCTGGCAGTGGCTGGAAGACATTGCGTGGCAGGCTGGAGATCAGGTTCTGGGAGAGGTCCAACAGCTGGAGAGTGGAGAGCCCTGCAAAGCTGTCCTCGCTCAGGGAGCGGATGCCGCTCTCAAACATGTACAGATGGGCCGTGTCTGGTGGCAACCCCTGTGGGACAACAGGGCTCCTCCTGGAGATGCAGAAGACCGTCTGGGGCTGGTTGCACTGGCAGTTGGCTGGGCAGCCCTGGGCAAGGATCCCAGCTGGGAAAAGCAGCAGTATCCAGATCAGGGGGAGCCTCATGGTGTAGCTTCTGCAGACCAAAAATGAGAGGGCTGATGGGTCACTTCTGACCTTGTGGTCATTTCTGAAAAGCCCCTGTGGGCCACCCTTTCCCAAGCTTTTATTCTAATGTTACAAGTCCTTCTGGGTATTTGCCCCAGGATTTTTCTAGGAGGCAAACTTGGCTTCTCTCTGTTGGAGAGATGGACTCCCCCCGCCCCGGCATCTTGGTTCAGTCTATGGAGACAGATGGGGAATTTGGCACCTTCTCAGTGATCAGCACGGGGCAGGGAACGTAAGCCATCTCCCTTCCCAGGGGAACAGAGCCTTCCTTCAGTCTTGCCTGCCTTTGCAGTCTTCTCCAGGGATCAATGTCTGAAGGGGGGGCTCTGGATTCTCTGGCCAGGGGGCATCAGAGGATAAAGAGGGGAGGAGCTGGCCATTTGCAAAGGGAACCTGGCTTGTTGGGAGTACCTGGGGCTCTGCCACGAGGGCCTCCTCTTTTGGGGCTGGGAAATGTGCTTGCCCTGACAGGCACCTTCTTCCTCATTCACTGCAGTCCCTGCAGCTGGCGGACACCGCCACTTTTGGGCACTCCGTCTAACCCAGCTGCCGTTCCACAGACCTCAAGTACCCTGCCTCCCATTCACAGTGGGCAAAAGAGCTCCATGTATGAAAGGAATGGGAGCACATTCGGCCGCCGCTGTGTCACAATGGCTCAGAGACCTCTTGTGTCCACCCAGTGCCCCCTTTCCTTGCCCCAGGCACAGCTTCGGGTCCCTCAAGCCTCGAATTATGCAGCGCAGAGCACTTTCATTTCTGTTCTCCTGGGAACGCAAGCAAGGCCTGCTGGAGTCGGCCAGACTCTTGAAGGCCATTGGAGAATTGCGATGGTGCCAGGAAAACCCACCACCATCGTGAAACTGGGGCTTGCCATGCTCTTGTCAGCTTCAAGGAAGAGGTGGGTCTCTGGACCCCCCAGCGCACCACAGAAGGGGGTCCACAGCAGTGCAGTTTCCATCCCACTAGTCCCACTGGGGCAAGAACTTGCTCCCCTCGCCCAGCTCTGCAGAACTTTAGCAAACTGGCTGGCAGGTCCCAGCTTGGCAGATGCTTTTCCTGGTTGAATAAGGAAGGGGCTCTACAGTCCCGTGCAGCCCTCCCAAACGTGTGTCCCCCTTTCCTGACCTTTGGACTCCCCCCACCGCCCCAAGCTTTGGAGTACCACTTTCTGAAAGACTGGGTTTCAAATGAGCATCTCAGGATTGAAGGCACTTAGCATTTCTAGCTTGCAGGCTTGATTTGACCCCTCTCCAGGGAGCGGGGGTGTTGTGATTTTGATTTTTAGTTTAATGGAAAACCATGGAAAAACAGCAAAGGAGGGATCCTTATATACAGAAACTGGAGTTGTAGCTATGCCCATCCCCACCCGAGAGCTGAGCAGGGCAACCCACCCTCCCCTGCATTCTTGGCAAGGACGGCCGCCATTGCTCGCTTGGAGACCAGCTCAGGTGTGCCCCCCTCCCTGCCCCCCAGCCAAAATGAGATCACATGGGGCTTGTCTGTCACCTCATTTAATAAGCGAGATTTGGCAAAAGGGGCCCGTCAGGAGCTCTCTTAGAAACTGGCGTTGCTGCACACCAGGTGATAAACGCAGGAATGTGCAGCTGGAGGAGGAACGGAGCTTGCTGGCTGGCTGGCGAGTGAACTGTCTTGCAGGGAGAGGGAGGGGCCTCTGCCCCTCCGGTGATTCTAGAGATGGACGGGCCCCCTTGCAGCCTATTGGTAGCCCAGGGCTCCCTGCACACAAAGCACCCGGCGCTGGTGGAATTCACCACGCAGGATGCGCTGATGGCTCTGACTCTGCGCTCAGGGATCCTTCCCCCGGGCCCCACTCCATGCTTCAGCTTCAGCTACAGCATGAGGACTCGGAGCCAGGACTGCAAGCAAGGCGGCTGAAAACCCACATTTAGGTCGTTCATCCAACCATGACATTTGCAATGGAGTCGATCCCATTTCTCACAAAGCCCCACAGTTTGCAAGGAGATGCCCTCTTTGGGAGGGCATTGATTGACATGTGGTTAATCCAGCCATGGTCTTCCCCACAGCACCACAACTAGCCACCCGCCATCGGGCCTTAGGTGAACGCAGCCTTTCCTTCCTGAGGGTGTAGGAAAAGAGGGGCGCTGGGAAAGGTGGTGTTCCCTTTCCTCCCGCTCGCCCCTGCCTGTGCCTGCTTCCTTTGGGGCGGTTCCTCGCTGACTCGCCTGTCTTCCATCCTCTGCCCGTTGTGCCTTTTGCAGCAGCTGCACCACCCAGCCGGTCTGGCAGAGGTGGTTTACAGGCCTCTCCTCCAGGGTTGGCACATACGAGCAAGGGAGCCAATTGTGGCAAGGGGATACTGCTGGGCGGGAAGGGTCTGTGTCAGACAAGGAGAAAAGCCTCTCCCCGGGGGACTGCAGATTCAGGGACCAGGCTTCTATCACTGGGGCACTGTGCCCCCACCCGCAGCGGTGGAAGAGCGACAGGCAGACTGCTTTCAGGCCAGCCCCACTCCTAGGCAGAGCAGCTGGGCACATCTCTGCCTTGGTGCCTAATGGGTTGAGCCAGGAGGAAGGGGCAGGGGCTGCAGGGAGGCTGCTGGGGAATCTTGGCCTATGGCTCCCCCCCCCCCAGCCCCATATCTGGGCTCTGCCCACCCCCCCCTTCGCCCACCTTGCTGGGGAAGGGGGGGGGGTCACAAGGAAAGCGGAAAGGTCAACCTTCCTGGCTTGGGCCCTGAGGAGGGGAGGGGGCTGCAGCAGCTCCCAGAACCTCCTATCCCCAGCACCAGCCCTGTCCTAAGTTCCTTGAGAACTGGGAGCATTG